GAATAACCTGTCACTCGCATGAGTGACTACACTATAGGTAGTAACTACCTATAAGTATCTGTAAGTCAACAGACTATGGAGTCTAGCTGGCATCTCATCCTTGTCGCCACTGTTATATTCCATGCTAATAGGAATATTTACTTGAACAACACAATGGATAAAATAGTAAAGGTTTATTGTAAAAACCAGTACAATAGGAATAAAGGTAACAGTTATGCACAAGATTGTCGCAAGTCAATCCAGTAGTGAGTGCTACTATTGGAAGGTCAGTAGTTCTTGCGTAAGTCTGAGTCATACTCAACAGATCCCAGCTAGACTCTGTAGTCCATTGCCTTATGAATACTTATGGGTAGTTACTATCTATAGTGTAGTCAGTCATGAGGCTGATAGGTTATTCCATTACATCACCCCTTGAAGTGTGGACACTTTTATGCCTTCTCCCTCAATGATTAATTGCTTTCTGAAGCCAACTTCAAACCGCAGTCTTTTTATTCAACAAAAAGGAGGATTGCACCAGGCTCCTGCAATGGCAAAAGTATGCAGGTGTAAGCTTTAAGAAAGCTTTATTCACTGAGAATACAAGGTTCACATATAGTGTCCTTTTATAGTCCCAGTAAATAGAAATAGCTCTCTCAAAGACCAAAGTAACGAAACAAGGGGAGACAACTCTTGATTATTCATAACAACTCCATCTAGGTTTTTTACAAAGGTTTGAGAGCACAGTTCTCATTGTCCAGTAAATATAAAACTTATTTTTTCATAAATTCAAAAAAATGAATTCACAACAATTCACAATGAACTAATTTTGGCAGTTCTTTAACTACTAATTCTTAAATAGATTTTCACACAACTGTAACAATTTCTTTTTACAACCCGTCTAACTTAAAAAAATACACTTTTCTCAAAGGTATGAGTTATAAAAAAAAAACAACTTAGACAATTAAACATATTATTACACCAAAGACTAACAGTAATAAAAAATAAAATTTCAAAATCCATTGACAATTTCACTGGAGAAGTTGTAAATATTTCAGTTTATAGGAATTCCATCTAAATTTAATCTTTCATTAATTTTGCAAGTTTTAAATGAATTTTATGAGCTTAGAATGCATATTCTACTTGCGAATCCATAATGCGAAAAAGGTTTTTTTAAAAAATCTTTCCTAGTTTTATAATTCTACTGAATTTATACAAATAAACAAAAGCATACACATGCAGGCTTTATAATAAAAGTCAAAGTGAAGTTAAAAACAGTGCAGAAAAAAGCAAAAAATTATTTACTAAATAGACCGAGTTTACTTCATCTAATGGATAATGAGTCAGTCATAGTTGACATTGCATTGAAAGAGATTGTCAAAAAGAATCATTGATGGAAGACTTTATTTTATTCTTTTAAAAGAAATTAATTTATTTTTACTTGAATAAAAAATGCTTCAAAATTTTGACAAAAAATTTAATATGAGTTGAACAGAATTTTTTTAACTGGCATGAGTGTTTAATAACCATTTCAATTTCAAACATTTTCTTGAATTTCATTGGTTGTTAAATCATACTTATAAAACCCAGGTTGTGTGTGTGTATCTGTTCATTTATATATTGGATCAGATTTCCTACATTTTTCAATCGATTTCAACAAAACTTCACAGGACTATGTAAAATTACATTGTTTTTGCACAAAATCAATTTGAAAACACAATTAAGACGCATCGCTGTTGCGAGAATTAAAGGGGGACAACTCATATAGAGTTATACTTATTATAAAACACAGGTTGTTTGTGTATGTGTGTGTGTGTGTTCATTTATATATGGGATCGGATTTCCTACATTTTTCAACCGATTTCAACAAAACTTCACTTTTTTTTGGCAGGTAGTGTTTCTTATTGTCTTGCACACTTTTTTCTTTATTTTTACATTCAGAATGCTTTAAAAATTCTATTTACAAGACAATTGTTTATAATAAAATTCTATTCAATCGGTAGACTCATAACGATTGAAAACAATGTTTTTGTTTGAGTTTGGGTTTGACCAATTCGTAAAAAAAAAAAAACAAACAAAAAAAAAACTAATTAAGACATGTGTGTCCATCAACCTTAAACAATAATCTTTGTCAATTTTATTTTTCAGTCTTTATGATGGTTGATACTTGATCTATCTCTTACTGCTACATCCCCGGGCAACGCCGAGCTGTACTGCTAGTATAAAATAAGCTTTGAGAAATTTCCATAACAAAACAATCAAATTTTGTGCAAAAGTAGGCTCAACCAACATAAAAAAATCTTTCTCAAATTCAACCTTAATTTAAATGTTTCAAGAAATCCTATTGGCTAAAAAATAAAAAATACAACATTCACCCACACATTTCTCAGAAAAATTTGCAACAAGCTACCGAGCCTCATTGAACTGATTTCATTGTTAAAAAAAACTATAAATAGAAACAACAAACAAATTTTCGTTGCATTTGAGATTTGCACATATGAAAGATACACACGGGACTTATGTGTCAAATTGCTGCCAAAGAAACAAACTTTCTTTATGAGAGATTAGAAAAATTTACACAACAAACTTTTTCACTTAATATCTTTCATAGAAAAATCTTTTGGCTAAGTTAAATTCAACCTTTTCAATCAAAGGCAGACAACTTTTTAGACATTGAACATTTCCAAAAGAACAAACAACTTTTTCTCTAAAATATACCTTTGCACACATCATTACAAACAAAGAAATTATAAATTGTGTATATAAAATTAAATCTATTGTTTCAAACATGTATTTTTTGTCGTGATTGAATATTGTTACCATTTGGCCATTTCTTATAATTTATGTTTTTGTATATTCCATATTTTATTTGTAGCACAATATTAAATATTCATGCAGCCTTCCTAGATCCACTATAAGTGTTTTCAGACATATTTGAAGGAAACTAATTGAAAGAACACTTTACTTAATCTACCTCTATAGATTTTTCTCATTCCACTGCCCATGTCTAGCAATATCTCATCTAGTTCTTATTTAGTACTACTCAGTTCTAGCTAGCTCTGTTTCCACTGAGTCCAAATACACACTGCCCAGACCAGAGATTGAACTCACATAACCTGATAAAAAAAAAAAACTGATATGGACAAATGTTTAGAGAATTGTGTTCCGGTAAGGGGTGAATCTTATCATAGTCAGTTATGTCAAAAAGCTGATTTCTTGATAATGTCATCACTAAGGAAACAACCTCAGCATGTGGCACAATTGGAAAGTATATGAAAACTAGACTACAAATTGAGTGAAATAGGGTAGATGAAAGTGAGTGGAAGCTGTTGATGTTTGTACTATCTAGAGATGGTGACTCTTGAAACACACCTATTTCCCAGCATCTTCGTCACTTGTGGGAATGTGTTGGCCTGAAAAAAGTGCACATGTGAGTTGTGCAATCTACCACTGACAGAAATGACATTATGGTATATAGGGATAAGGTTGGACTAATACATAAGTAAAGGCCAAATGTACTGTCTATAGTAGCATTTTATTGTTGACTACATTTGGTTACAGTGGTTAAAGTGGGTCACTATTGTCATAGATTCCTTTTTGATTTGAGAGTTCATACAGATTCATTATGTTTTTCACTGACAGAAATTAATTTGTTGAATTCATACTTTCTTCTTTTTTTTCTTCTGGAGCTGTACGTCTGGTCAAACTCAACATCTAATGAATCTCCAACCCTTGTGTCTCCAACTGCTACATCAAACCACTTTCCCACTTCTGCTTATGCTTCTGTGCACGTTTTTTCTTCTTTTTATTGTGCCTGACACGTCTGTGTTTTCCATTTGATTTTTAGTGGAACGTGTTGTCATTGGTCGATTTTTTTTATGATATTCAATGACCCACATAAGCTATGTCTGGGTTCTGTCAGTTACTGAGGATAGGAACAATAGAAGGAAGGAAAGGAAGTAGATAAGAGAAAGAGAGAGTTTTCTTTGTCACTTGCTTAGTGAAAAGGAAAGTGTATATTTCCATATAATGTTACTACTACCTAATCCTACTACAACATCATTTATTTTCTAGACACAGCAAATAGTAAATGTTGGGATAAAGATTTGATCATCACTCATATGATAAATAAATGGAGTAAGTTAATTGATTTTATATGTCAACCCTTTTTTGGTCATACAAAAACGCAACAAATTATGAAGCACTTATTTTGATTAAATGCATTACTTAGAACGATTACTTCACTACTTATCTAAATGTAAAAACAGTCTTAGTTAGCAGTAAGTGACAGATGGCTACAAAAAGCACTTCTGATTATTTGCTGCTAATTTGTTTCAATAATGTACTGACTATTGTTTGTATCATATGGCATTAATTATAAGTGAAATGTTGCACTAAAATAAGTAACCAGGTAATCGTTTTTAAGTTCTTTCCATTGAAAGCCACCCGTTGCTATGGAAGTGAAACTCACTAAAAAAAAAATGAAATAGAAATTTAATAAATTAATTAAAAAATAAAAATGTTTTAACGATAAGAATGTACTACATTGTTAATTTTGTTTGAATACACAAGAAAAAATTGAAGATGGACAATTTGTTTACTTTTTATTCTATGAAATTAAATTTATTTAACAGTTTTTTTTTCTTTTCGTTTTTTTCATACTAGAAATGTTGTTTTAAGCGAAACAGGATTTTTTAAAAACGGATTAACGCTGTTTTTTGGGTTGTGTCAAATAATTTTGCTTTGTATTTCCTGAAAGAATATAAATATTTTATTTAAAATCAGCGTCTTTTTATTACATGAAAAATAAAATAATAAAAATATTCTCCATTAATTGACTTTTAGTCAGAAAATATTTTAAAAAATGTATATAAAATCAGAGAATTGTATATTTTATTTTTATAAATTATTATTTTGGATAAGTTTCGTTTTTCGCCCATTTTTATATTTGGGAATAACCCTAGGACGTACTGTTCTGAAGGTGAACTCTCACATGGTGTATTCAACTGTACAAAAGTCGCAATATGCGGTCAAGCGAGCCGTCTTCCCTAATTGTGGGTTCATTTAAAGAAATGTATGATAAATAATTGAAAAATCATGTCAGTTTGGAATTAGTAACAAGCTTATGAAGGGAATTACGGTCTAAATCTGTCGTTTACCACTCATTTTGGAATTCATACATAGGCTGCTTAGCCAAGTTGACTGTTGGAAATGTGAAAAAAAAAAAACAACGGATTTATCATCACACTCACAGATCTCACGGTTGAAAAATATTTTTCCTCTAAATTGTGAACTTACAATGAATATTACCTCAAGAATGATCATTCGATCACCACTTAATCGGCAATTATTTAAATGCTTGACTGCAAGGAAAAATTATTCAAACGTCTGCAGCAAATCAGTAAGTAAACTTTCTGGTTTACGTATGACGTTTCCCTTTTTTGTTTCGTCTTTTGTTTATTTTTAAGCCTTAAGGTTTCACAGATTATACTTGAGTTTTCCAAATATATTTCAAGATATATTTAAAACATTTTAAATTCTCACAAAGGAGATATTTCGCTTTTTTATTTTATGGGGGAGCAACCGACTTTATTGGTTTCTAAATTCTATTGCTTCGTTCGATCATTTAAAGAACTATTGTTATTTTTTTAAATGAAGGTTTTCAAATAGATTTTTTAATTAATTCAAGTATTTTTCGTACCTTTTATGCAAGGTGTGTTCAACCGGAACTGATTTCGTTATGGTGTTACTGTTAAAAATTGTTCTGATTTTAGGCCGTACTTTTAAAAAAAATGAAAAAAAAAAAAATGAAGAAGGGCTCGTTGTCATTGCCAAGAAGAATCTTATTTAATTTTAATTTTTACTATGCAAAAATTGCTCCTTATACAGAAGAGCCTTTCTATTTTTGTCCATAGCTTTCAGTTATGCTTTCTGTTTCGAGAATTTTATCATAAGGCTGTTTCAAATGATCAGTAATGATAAAATCAATATGTAAACGTGAGATATAAAAAAAAAAAAGTCTAATCGAAGGTATGAGCCATAAAACAGGGGAGATAATTCGCATGAGCAAAAATGAAAGTAATTTTGTTAAGTGACGACAGTTGCTCGAAGTACAAGAGTTGACTGACTGGTTCAGATTTTGTAGGTATGTGCGCTGCTATTTTTCTGAAAATCAACAATAAATGGTGATAAAATTGGAGGTCCAGACAAAATAGTAGAGATTAATGATACATTGATTGTTTTTGTAAGTAAAAAGAAAATATAATTTAATAACCGCAGTCGAGTGCTTCATTAACAATGGCTCTTTGGAGGAATTAAAAGAAATTCTGAAGAATTTTTTTTTAAATAATTACAATAAGCTGTTATTGATAGTTCGAGACGTATTGTATTAAACTTTAAACAAAGAAAGTTATTCTACGTCATATGATGTTTGGTCCGCTTATAATGGGCTAAAAAATGATACAATCACAAAGTTATAAAATTTATTATAACTTCATGAAAATAGTTTTGTCTTTGTTGATTTATTTTATTTTTACTTTCTTTACATGAATCTTTTTTAATTAATACTCAAACAATAGAGAATATAGCTGGCTTCATTTAAAGCGTTTTCTCGTCAGAGAAAAAGGAATCAACAAACATTCGCACGAAAAGGAATACGTTTCGAAAAAAATGTTTTTGAAAATATAAGCGATAAATTTTAACTCGCAAATTACGGCTCCTCTTTTATAGTCACAATTCTAAAGATGCCGTAATTTGCATGCGCAAAAATGAAAGTAATTTTGATGAGAGCCGAACGAGTGGCTGATTTTAAAAGTGACTAGTAGTGACTCTCTACTAAATCCAAAAATTATTTTTAGTTGATAAAGCACTCGGCCGCGGTTCAATCTTTCATTCTCTACTATTTGTCTAGAGACCTCCAATTTTATCAACACAGTTTTTTATTTTTATTTTTTTTACTGAAATATAGCAGCAAAGATCCATACAAAATCTGAACCAGTCAACTACTTCGAGTAAACTGTAGTTACTTTAAATTTTAAAATCAACCACTCCTCAGGACATCTTTTAGGCTCCCATAAACAAAATTACTTTCATTTTGGTGCATGTGAATTGTCTCCCCTGTTTATGCCCTCGTCCCCATAGACCTTTTTTACCATACTTCTTTTTGTTTACTAAATATGTCAATATAAGGTTTTCAGTTTATCCACAAATATTTTAAATTATAATGTTTATATTTTATTCTTCTTCATCCGAGAAGAAAATGTTTTTGTGAAGCTGTAGTAGGTAAACCATTTGTGCTTCTTAAACTTTATCACAAGAGATAAAAGTTGAAGTACATCAAGTTGTTTTTTATTGTTTCACCCCAAGCAATCACATGGGATGAGTTTTTTTTTTAATTTTATTTTTTTATGTATGCTTTTCTTTTTATCCATTGCAATCAAATTGTAGATTGATTTCAGTAAAATCAAGCAAGTCAGTATTTGTGTAAAAGTTTTACGCAAATACTGATGTGGTTGTTTTTATTGTGTGTGTGTGTGTGCAAAGATTTTATTTTTGCACAAATTTGGTAAATTGACTAATAAACTGTCATTCAGTTTGAGAATTAATATTGAAAAACAAATTACATCGCAAAAAGGTGAGAAGCCTGATTCATTTGGTGTATTACATATATTGAGTACAATTGGTAATGCTATTAATAGTTACTTAGTTCTTTTTGAGCTTAAATTGTCGTTTTAATTCTCAATTAAACCATATAACTAACAGTAACACACTAAGTGTAAGTGATAAGCAGTCAATGAGGTAGTAAGGATTCTCATTGCCCAGAGGCAAATACACTTTTTGACACCACCGCTTCTGAATTGTTTTGATTTTTACTTTTTTGTGACTCATTATTTAAAGAATAATTAACTTGAAGATCAAAAATGCAATCAGAAAGTGCATACCTTTTGTCATTCTATTTTCACTCAAATTACTTGCAGGAGAGGTAATTATAAACATTCATATCCTTCCCAACCTTTTTATCACATATTCTATCACTCTTCCACCAAATTTCATAGAAATCTATTGAGAACTTTTTGCCTGGGACTGACTGTCCCCTCTTGCTATGCTACTGTAAGCAGTTTATTCTCAGTTTATGAAAACCAAGAACTTTTTATTGTTCTAAAAACACTTTCAAGTTAACATCCTCTATCATGTAATGTAATTCATGTATTTGCAAGTTTCATTTACTGATTGTGCAATAATTTCTGCAATTAATTATCTAAATTCAATAGTTTTGTCTATCACCCAGTTCACACTTTCCCCATTTTTTGAACAGGAGTAGAGGTTTATCCCTTATTTCCTTTTAGAATTGGGCTTCCAGTTCCTTTTCCTAAAGTATCTGAATCCTGACAGTTTGACAATATACAAACAATTTGAAAATGTGATGAAAGAGATTCAAGATTTTGAATGAGAGATCTTGTATGTATATTCATTTTTGAATGTTGGCAAAATACACACTTTATTAAAAATTCTTCTATAGATTTATTTATACTTAGCCAATAGCAACTGGGTTTTACTAACTTTAAATCAGGATGAAATGTTTATGATAATCTTCATTCTATAAAAAAATAGATTTATTCAAAAATCTTTATCCTCGGATAACAAGTGGATACATTGCATAATGTCTTAGCATCATTACCTGTCACTGGGAGCTCTTTATGGTTAGTATAAGGTTTAACTTTTTTCATCTCAATGATTTTTTGGTTAGTCATAGATGTCAACTTTTATTGCAAAAGCTGGTTGCAACATACAATCAGCTACTATATTCTTGATTTAATGTGATATATAGAAAATGGACGGATCAAGTATTGACACAAGTCTTTGCTTATATCTGATTTTGATGAGTTTTGACTGTGAAAAAGTGCGGCATTGTGATTTATAGTCTGTCAAAAAAATTACATGCTGACTTTTGATGATGTGGCAAAAGTAAAACACTTTTTTATGGAATCACCATTTTATAATGCCATTGGTAATAAATTGTAGTTACAATTAATATAGTAAATGCACTTCAACAGTCCTGGAAAAAAGTAAAGGTGTACATAAATTGATTTTTTTTTTTTTTTTTTTTTTTTTGTGGATGTATCTTTTTATAGTAAATTCTTATTTGAAATATTTATAGAGATAACGTCTGATATAGGAAAAGTTTCAGAATATTACCTTAGAAAAGCTGGTATGAATTTTCTGTTATCAGAGTTTTTTGATCTTAAACTGCTTCACTTCCCTCTTTTGGTAAAGAACTTGACATAGATTTGTATAGATGGCCTGACATTTTTGAGTTGACTGCTACAAAATCCTGTATTATTTTCAGAGGATATGAACTTGAAAGTTTTTCAATTTTCTCAATTTCAATTGGTTGAATATTATCTTTTTATACCTTATGATCTGTTTTCTTCAACAAATGCAAACTTAATTTTTATTTTAGATTTTATTTTTGACTTCATTTTCCTGGAGCTGTTTATGTTGATTTTCTTTTTGTGTGACTTTTTTCATGTCTTTGAAATCTTTACATGCCATTTCAATGATTTAAACTTTGAATATTACTACACCATGTAACATAAACTAAAACAAAAAATAGCATGAAGGTATGAAACTAAAATGGTACTACCCAAGAATTATTTCTATTTTATTCTACTTGAATTTTGTTTAGCGGCTTATCAGTCTCTATGGGTTATTTAAAGCTGAAATCAATATATTTTATACATAATTATATGCTTTCAACTACACATATTTTGTACATAATTTTGTTTTCAGGGTAAAGGTATGTTTTTAGATATATAGTTTGTAGATCATAAAATATATTGTTGGTAATTTTTTAAAATGTATTGCTAGTAATTTTACTATAAAAATGTATTTTTATATTTTTTCATATTTTTTAGTGTTGCATTGATTTTTCATTTTGCTATAAAAATGTATTGTTGGTCATTTTATAAAAATGTACTGTTGATTTTTGTTTCGGGGTTCACTATTTATCTATAGCTGTGACCCTAACATGTGCTACCACCCTGGGTCAGGGTAGACCTGGGGACAACAATAATTAAGAGGTGGTTTCAAAACCACCAATCTCCCAATCAGAAGCCTTGTTGTCATACTCAGGACGAAGTACTATTAGGAGATTTACTGGTTTTGAGCTCTTCATTTCAGTCTCTCAGTTTGCAATAAGTGTTCTCTTAGTTAACTATTAGGCTAAGTTTTCCAGTTTTTACAAGATTCTCCCTGTAAATAAATTATTAACCTTTCTCTACTAAAAGAGATGTTGAGTGAAAATACTTAAGTTCATGTGTATTTTGAAAGCCATTTCAGGTCACAATTCAGTTAAATTATTGCAGAGATAATAGTTTTGGATAAGATTTACTGAACAAAGGCTTGATTACTAGTGAAACATTGGCCTGAAATGGGTTAATGTTGATCCCAAATTATGTTTCCATTGAAAAAAAACTGCTGTTAATTCAAAGAATGATGTTTTAGATTTAACATTTTTAGGCTCTTTTTGAAATCTATTTCTCTGTTTTTGGTAAAATATCCCTGTTTTTCTGACACTAGAGATTAAGATTGTTAGGCTGACAGGTCTGCATTAGAGGTAAAATTCAATAACTCTAGTTTAAAACGGACTCATGGGTACAGTATGATTTTTCTCCAATTCAATCCTGAAGAATTTGTTAGCATTAATCTTTGGAACAGCATTAATTTCAGTAATTCTAATCTAATATAAAATTAAAAGTAAATATTTATTAAAAGAACATCAAACAAATTTTAATTTACATATTGACTGTTATCAACTGAATTAAAATGAGAGAAAATATCATATTGTGACAATTTGTCCTGATGAATTTACCATGTATGATTGGAATTGGTCCTCAGATGGACTGAATTGCCATTGTTATTTTCTCTTTGTTCTTCTCCAGACATTTGCAATAATTTTTGTGTGAATTTCATCATTAGCTTCCACAAAATTTTCTGAATGGTTGATAAAGTTGTGCTTGTTAATTACAAATTATATTATTACTGTATAATTAGATTATGACAAGTGGGAATACAGAGCAAACATCTTGTCTGGTGCTCCTGCTATATGTTTAGAGATTCTTGATAAAATCCAAAGAAGAATCTGCAATGTTATTTTTCCTGACTTGGCATCTCGGCTTCCCACCACCATAACGTAGCTTTTCTGTGTATTTTCTGATAAACTTTTCACTATGATACCTAGACTTTATGAATGTAAGCACAGTACTAGATTGCCAGCAAGATCTCATCATTTTACAGTTGAAATTGCTATATGTAAATGTAAGTTTTATGCTAAGAATGTCTTCTCTCGCCCTTCTTGCTTGTGGAACTCTCTTCTAGTTTCCTGCCTCTCAGTCAACTTTAATCTTCAAAAATTTAAATCTCTTATTAATTATCATATGTCTTCTTAATTCTTATTTTATTGTCCTCTCTCCTTAACAGTAGTTTTTCTCACATTCTCTAACACTCAGTAACCCCTTGCTTGGGGTGAAATAATATAAAAATGAAAAAAAATCAACATCACAGTTCCAAAGTAGCTCAGCAGAAAATAAAATTATTTTATTTTTTTTTTATGTGGGTTAATGACAATATAGCATTATTCCATTTATTAATTACATTTAGTCTGGTACAAGGCTACAGAAGCAGAGCACTCAATGAAAAATGAAGCTCTACTTGTTCATTAACCTAACAAATAATGGTTTTGCAAGACTTGCTCCCACCACTCTACACCAGGCACCTATCATATCGGTTATTGTAACTTAAAGCAGGTTTAATTTGGTCTTTGGGAAACATGCCAGGACTCACAAATATCTGACATAATTTTATCGTTATGATAAGAGCTTTATTCTTAGAATAAATAAATAGAAAAAAAACATTGGGATGCAATTCTAGACATCTGTTATTACATAACAATGCTTGAGCTTATCCACTCTGCAACCTATTAACTGATGTTTTTAATAAGCTGAGATTTCTTGTGTGCTGTGAGACACTTATTCAGGCTTGGGTTTTCTGTAGTGATTAATAGTTTCTTTATTGCGGTAGTTTTATATTCCATAAACATGTTAAAAGAAAAAAAGGGTATGCGCATTTAAGCAAGTTAAAATATCAAAGAAAAGCTTGCTTCTTAAAGCAATGGATATTTAGACGTTATCTGAAAAAGTTGTTGAAAATTAAATATAAAATTGTTTTCTTATAAAACCAGAATTAGATTTAGTAATTTGTAAGCTGTGATA